TTCATGTGATGAAAATAAATTTCTCTCTTCTCCTAACCTGCCTTTTTTTTTTGTGTGTGTTTGACTCTTCTAACTCCAGTCAACTAACTCAAATATAACCTGAAAATTTTTACCTTATCTGGAGCACTTACTTTTACTGAAAGCTTTCCACTATAATCAAAGACATTTCATTGGGTTTCACTTTTTTCCCCAACCTTTTTTTCCTTAAAAGTTTTCTATTTCAGCTTTTTCCATAAAAACAAAGCATTGTTGCATGAGCAGGTTCCCATTCTTTCCTTCCACTAGGCCTCATTTTTAAAAGATTTCCTTTTTAAATCCGAGACAATATGTCTTTCTTCATTTCCCTCATATATCCTGATACTATTTCCCAAGACTTTATTACTAACAATGCCTTTTCATTTGTCCTGCTCAAGTTTTATGTCAAGTGCTCAGTATGAGTTTATACTAGGAGCTGTATATTTTCATTTTATGTTTATTGATGCAATGAAAAAGACCAAGACCTTAAACTTTTCCAGACCAACAAGCTGTTCTGCTTGGAATTGTTAACCAAGCCTTACTCCTTTTGGAAATCCTGCTTCTCAACATAGACCTTCTGGCTTTTAATGACGTTATCTTTCCGCTTTCTTTCTCTACTTGTTCAGTCTCTCAGACCCCACGCAGTATTTTCTTTACAGCATACTTAGTTTCTGGGGGAAAATTTGTCTCTAACGTGTGAAAGAGCGCTGATGTAGCTATCCTACAGGTTATGTCTGCAGTGCTTTGCTTTAATTGAGGCTCTCTCTGCTTTTGTCTCTCCCGCATCTCCCGACAACCCCGCGCACCAGCCAAGCAGCAGAGCTTCCTTCCTGACAAGTCGCCCCTGAACGCACAGCGGCATCAGACCCCCAAAAGACCCCATTCTCTCATCAAGCACCGCTCCTCTGGCCACAGGGTTGAGGCACAAGCGCGACACACTTCTTTTTTTTTGCATAGAGCTGCCTTCCCAGTCTCCTAAAAATAAACGAGCCTCTCGGTTCCTTATCGAAGACATAGCAAGAGCGGATCCTGCCTCACGCAGGCGGTGGCACTTGGCCGCTGTCGGAGCGAGCGGGGAGGCTGTGCCCCGCTGGAGGAGGATGCCAGCCGAGCAGCCTCTCCTCCGCTCCGCCACCTGTTGCCCTGGCACTCGGGCTGAGTTACTCCGCATCCCTGCCTCCCGCATCGCGCCCAGCATCGCTCCCCGAGGGCCGGCACATCGCTCCTGCGGGGCAGCGGCTTGCTTTCGGGAGGCTGCGTTGAAACCACGGGGCAATCACCCTCTGTACAGCCGCAAGCACCGGGAGCGAACAGCGGCACCCTCACAGCTCCTGCCTGCCACCTGCCACCCGGGGGGCGCACGATGGGGCATGGGGGCAGCAAGATGGGTCCGGGGGGCACCCATCGGGGCGCCGGGAGGGCACCGGCGGCATCCCCCATCCCACCGCGCCCGCAGCACGGAGCCGCCGGCAGTGCCGGGGGGTGCCCGGCGCCGTCGGAGCCCCGCCGAGGGAACCCCCCGAGCCCGAGCCCGACCCCGTCCCCGCGGGGCTCCCCGCCCCCCGCCGCCCCCCGTCGGAGCCCACCCCCCGCCGCCCCGGGGTGCATCCCCCGAGCTCCTCCGCCTCGCCGCGGGGCCCGGCGGGGCCCGGCTCACCTGCCTGCCACCGGCGAGCGCCGAGCGGGAGGCGCCGGGGCGGCTGCGGCGCTTCCTGCGGCGGGAGGCGGGCGCCGTCCCCGGCTGACCCCGCGGGGAGGCGGCGCGGGAGGACGCGGGGAGGGAGGGAGGGAGACGGGGAGGGACGGACAGAGGGAGGGAGGCAGGGAGGGAGGGAGGCGGCCGGGACGGGCCGAGCCGAGCCGGGCCGGGCCGGGCGCCCGCTGGCTGCTGCTATGGCAGCGCGGCCTGGCGCCGCCGAGCCCCGTGTCCCCGCAGGCGGGAGGGACACGGAGGGACCCGCAGTTAATTAATTAATTGCGCTAGGGACGGCTCGGCGCACGCCGCAGGGCTGAGGCTGGGGAAGCAGCGCCCAGGCGGCGCTCCGAGGGACAGCGGGAGCCGGGTGGAGAGGCTCAGCTACTGAGCACCCAAAATCCACGCTCCTTTTTTTTTTTTTTTTTTGACATCCAATAAAAAAAAAAAAAAAAAAAAAAAAAAAAAAAGAAGGACAAAGCATAGTTTAGCTATCACAGCGCTGCCTGCACTGGAAATCACTGGAAATATATAAATAAGCTAAGTGCCTACATGACTCCTACGAGGGGATGCAATTAATTTGACTAGACAGGCTAATAATGCCGCAGCTGAGACTGAAGTGCGGTTCAAAGGTGGTAAAACGATTAAAATACCATCCCATTAGCGATTAAACTTTGTGAACGCTGTTCCCTTACAGCACTTCTGCTCTGAAAATACAGCACGAGGGGGCTGCATGGACTCGCTGCGCCTCAGCGTTTTCAGCATCATGTTTACGTGGTAAAAGCTGCTGCCACTGAATTCCAGTCCTGGAAAAACATCTGTGCCTTTCAGCTATCAGAAAAATCATCTGGCTACGGTGCACTGAAATATATTGAAAGTCTAACTTCTCGCATACACAGTTTAATTACCGTTACACGAAAAGCACACAGCATCTTGGTAATCCAGCTAAAACATAACACGCATTTTAAACTGCAATTAATGTAATCATGTAACTGAACAAATGGCAACAATACTCAACAAACATGGATTGACCCGAGCAGGAAATAGTGCAGGCAGGCAGACAAGCTTCTCTAACAAGGTTATCTAATACTTTGGTCCTGACTCCTGGCAGTATGCTGCAGAGGGTCTCCCCCACTCATGCTCATGGATATACCAGATTTGGGACTCACTGCAGTAAACAATGGTCTAGAAAGGTTTCAGTGTCTTCCACAACCAATAGGAAGGGCTGTTCTTGCTCCAGAGAAAGCAAAAATTACATGCTTTAAAATAGCAAGGGGTAATGAGCTGAATTAAATACACTCATTTTTACATAAGTGTACAGTTTTTCACCTAGTAGAAATATATAAGGTGTGATCAAACCATCATTATCTCTTATACCATCATTTACATCCAACGTGGCTAGTTGCTCTGTACAGAAGGAGAAGGTCCATAAATCAGGATTGCAATAAGCCAGCAAAAGAGCTGATGAGGCTGCACTGTTACAGGACAAAAGATGAGGGGAAGGATGGTGCTTAAATAAAAACAATCAATGACAAAAGAGCAAGGTGAAGGGGAGTAAGGACATAAACTTCAGCTTAGTGTAGGAGGGCAAGGGAAGCCAGCTGACTGCTCAAAGAGGGCTATGTAACCGGGAGCAAGAGCAAGGATGGTGACCATCAGGAGACAAGAGAACATGGTGTCTTCAAGACCTTTCTTGAGATACATCTTAAAGGTTTGGGGTTTTGTGCAATCCCCTTAGTTCCATTCAGCAGCAAGTAAATACCTCTAGTCTACGTTTGGTTTTATACCTTCTACTCCAATGAACTATAGAGGAAGACACAACTGGCTGGAACTGGCAAGTATTTTAGCAGAGCAGAAGTACCTTTCTGTATTTTCTCGGGAAAAAAAAAAAAAAAAAAAAGACATTCTCAGATTTTGTCCTTAGAAATGAGTGGGGTAAATCAACTCAAACTTTGAGCTACTCAGTGCAATCACATGAAGTGTGCTGTAGTGCTTACTTTGCTGTGTTGCACAGACTCCAAAGAACTCACAAATGCCCTCAGTACTGATGACTTTAATTTCACAAAAGTCTATGTAAAATAGGGGTACTTACTTTCGGAAGTCACAGCTGCTGGTTCCAAAGCAGACTTCCGAGCAGGAACAGAGCATCTGTGCTCTGGAGTCCCAGAGAGAAGTGTCCCATGGCTGAGCGGGAGCTGTCCTTGGTCACGGACCTGCGGCTCAGGCAGGCACGGCGCAGCCCCTCGCCCTCTGATCTCTTGGAGCAGCTATCATCATCCTCTCCACGATACCAAGTCCCATAAGCATTACCAGTGTTCAGCAGAGGATGCCCTTTTTTTTTCACCCTTTTTCTGTGCACTTCTGCTTCTGAATATACTTTTAACACTGGAGTTTCTTCCTTCCAGTTACTCACACATATCCCAGATACAGCCATCTTCTTTTCTGGTTGATATATGGCATAAAGATATTGTTAAATTCTGGGAAAAAAAAAAGATTATATATTCATTTATTATAAAAAACTATTATTTTTCTGAGTCTTAAGTTTTTTTCAGAGTGTTTTATCAGACTTCTTAAATGACTGTCTATACTTGTGGTAGATTTCCAGCTCTCACATCCATCTGTTAAGTTGAAAATAGCATGAACTGAATATTCAGTTTGTTCTTTAAGTTATAGATTTTCAGGGACTGAATCTTATTTAAGCAGATAAATGCAGTTGCTGCTTTGCCAATTTGCGACATTATTTCCTTCCAGATATCCCCACTGGCTTGCATATTACTGCCAAGGTATTCAGCTTGACTCATTCTTACACTCCTTTGCCTTTTAAAGCAATGCTTGAATTTTAGGTTTCTTGTTGGAATTATTTTTGCATATGGTCATTACGGTCATGCAGAGCAGCCTTTTAGTTCACCTTTTCAGTCACTCAACATCTCATCCGAGTGACCATTTAAGACCTATGTCACTACCAAAATAAGATTTCAGCATGCTGCTATTGAGCCTAACAGTCTAGGTGTTTAAACCTTTCTGATAATGAATTAATAGAAAGCCCGAAACATTTAATGGTTTTTCACTGAGGTTTTTTTTTTTTTGGATGGGCTTTCATACAGCTTTGGCATCGCCTTGTTCATTGCAACCGTATTCAATGTTAATCATCAAGCAGAGTATTTTGTCTCATTTCACCCATACTTTATCTGTGCATGCACCTGGATATAAAGCTGTGTTGATAGTAATTACTTGCCTTGATATAACACATTGCTTCAAGATACAACAAAACAAATAAAGATAGAGGCTGACAAATGCTTCAGTGATTTTTTTATTTTTATTTTTGCTTCTCTGTTGTTCATATTAGCGTGTTTTTGTCATTCAATCTTCCTCCAACGACTGCTTTTAGACTATGCTGATAGACACTACAAGTTACAGTAATAACAGACTAGTAGAAAAATGATGCATGACAGAAACTGAACAAGAGTAATATCCTCTCCACATACTAGCAAAAAAAATAAAAAATAAGGCAAAGCTTACATGGAGAAGGATGCATTTTAGCTTGCTAGGTCATTTGCTGACCAGCCACTGCTGTGGCTGCTGCACAATGTGTACTGGAGCTAGGTCTTAACTTGTTTTAAACCAGCAGTGACTATTGTGTAACAATCCATCAAGATGAGTATCTAGTAAAATTGCATCTGGACCAAAGTTTCTTCCATGAGCTTTGCTTCAGCCAGCTTACCATACAAAAATGTGCATCCACAGAAGAAATAAAGAGACAGTCAAATTTAGCGAAGATCACTTCACGGATTACCCTGGTGTTGTTGCTCTAAGAAAATTGTTTTAAGAGTTGAAATTTTTCAGAGAGAGAAAAGCCCTCAATGTTGCAGTCATTCCCACCTAGTGAAGAAAAAGCAGTCTGCTTGGACAGCTCCTGTCTTCATACAGCTCCTCTGGTTTCTTCTGGCACAGGGCCCTCACTTTCTTCCAGCTGCATAGCTCTGCTGTGGCCATTCCTTCTGTCTCCAGTCTTGTAGCTCTTCCTCTCACCCTCCTAGCTAATTCTTCATGTGATCCCTGGATGAGATCTGCAAAAAGAGGTATTACATGACTAAGCCCTAAGTGTTCTTCTGTTTGTGCACCTACAGGATTTCATGGCTGCTCAGGTTTTCAGACATGGATTTCAGAGAATAAAGACATTTGATGTTTCTAAAAGGAACATTTAAAGCATGAGCAGCTTCATTGCTTGTTTCCAGTCCAAAATGAACTGAAAAATGCCATTGTTATCATTCTGTCAGGGGGAATTACTGGTTTAATATCAGTATTAGACATGCAGTGGTTGAAATGGCAATTTTACTCAAGATTTCTTCTGTTGAAATAGGCTGGCATACATGTTCAGAGTGCCCATATGGCACACTTCCAGGCACTGCCTCATTTTAACCAAAGTATATCCATATTTCTCCTTATAGTTCTCTGCAGAAACAGTGAGGTGGAAAGTAGAAGGAGTACAAACTCCTTCTAAGCTCCCCTGTTTCAGCAATGGTTGAGGAATTCATTTCAGAGAAGGCATTACTTGGTCATTCACACAGGGACCAGGTAGGAAACAGATTCCTTAGTAATAGGAATTTAAAAAAAGAAAAAAGCCAACTTCCTTCCTTTTATTTGGTTCTATTCTCTGCCCATATTAAATGATGAAAGAGATGAGTGAAGAATTGTTTAGATCCAGTAGTACACAAACACATTAGGTCAATAACTGCTCAACTGCTAGCTGACAGTATGAACTAGCCATGAGCAGAATTGGCGCTGTCATTTCACAATGTATTTTTAGACTTAAACAGCTACAGAAATACTTCCTAGAACAGACAGAGTCCTTTGCTACACGGCTATTAACATCAAGAACCTAAAGAAAGGCCTGAAGTTTTTTTTTTAAGAGCCCAAATTCCTCCTAGGTTGGCCAACGGAGTATTAATGGCAGTAATTCTTAAAAATAGCTTAAGAATGAAACAAAATATACAAACAAACAACATCAAAGAAACACAACCAGTGTTTCTCTCAGGATGTACTTCTGACTAACCTAGTTTTACCTGAGTGCAATTTTTTGTCCTGCATCTCCTGCTTACTATGCTGATTTGCTGTGAGGTTTTAAATTACTTTTCAAATTCCACAGGGAAAGAGCTACGACTTGGTTTGCATCACACCTAGCCTCGAACAGATATACCTAGAACTGAAAAGCAGTATTTCTACATATAGTGAAAAAGAATTAAAAAAAAAAAAAAACAAACTGAGAAATTTGACTAATCACATCTTTGAACCTAGGATAGGGAATGGATGGGTGTCCTAACTTGATCAAAGTCACAGTCTAACCACTTCTAACTGCTGTGTTTTGAAGAACAGACTGTAAAGAGGCATCAAGGATCACAGTGATACCACACTTCCTCAAGAGGAACAAGGTCTCATCTGGGCAGATACTAAGGTAATTTCAGTTTGCAAAGAGATACTCTGGAAAAGGAAAGTTCTTTGTATACCACATTGTCTCTGTTCAGAATTCTTCTTCTGGGTCAGTTCACCTCTCATGAAGTGTCATTTCTTGACAGATCTACCTTTTCTGTTACTATTTTTATGGGCTACATGGACAATTAGTAAATGTTTCCATGGCAATTCATCGACAGTTTCCCATAAATGAAGATAGATTTTAGCATTCCTATACAAAGACTCTGTTCTTCCTTTCTGTTTTTAAAGTATTTTTAAGGCTAACCAAGTAGGATCATGTAGGAGTATGTTCTATTACAGTAACAATACCCCTGTGAGGATATTCAGGGAGGTCCAAGTTAAAAGTAGGCTATTAAAAAAAAGAAAAAAGAAAAAAAAGAAACCTCGAACATCCATGTTAAAAACACATTCAGATGAGATCAGAGTGTGTGTTAATTACCATTTTTTTCTGCTGCAGACAGAGAAATACCTTCTGTTCTTCTTTCCTCAGCTGGAGCTGCAATCAGAATAAAGCTAAGGAAGGATGTACAGACCCTGATGTCTGTGATCAACCTCGGTGTCAACCTCTTCATCCTTCCTGGAGGTTTGGCAGCCTGTGCTGAAGGCTGACTGTGGTATGGTGCAGCTGCCTGATCTGGGATCAGGCTGCTCCAGAGCTGCATTTATGCCCCAGCCCTTGGTACCTGCCTGGGCTATGCTGCAGCTGTGCCTGCACCGGATTTCTTCACCCTGGTCCTGCCCCTGACCTGCTGACCTGACTTCTTCACTTGGCTTCAGACCCACCTTGTCTGTGCCAAGATCAGAACTCTACCAAGAAAGAGGTCTGGGATCCAAAACAAAAAAAACCAAACCTTCAAACTAGTTACATTTTGGAGCTTCAAAGAGGATTAACAGTGTGCACCTGGGCACAGCTGTGGATGGACCCAACTAGTTTAAGAGTCATGGATCAATCACTTTGTGTACTTCATCTCAGGCAGCCGTACAGGGAGACGCTGTGCAGACATACTCAGCTTTCACTTTTGAAGTGCACTTGGACAGTCCACGGGAAATGTTTTGGAAATGAGAACTGCAAAAACAAACAAATAAACAAAGGAAAAGCACGCCAAGTTACTTAACAAAGGTCAGAAGGAAAAAGCCTGCTCATTCCTCTTCCACTGGAAAGACACTTTATGAGAATGTCCTTTGGTGAAAGGAGAAAAGGGAGAACTGCTGATCCTTATTGCAAAGTGAAACTCTGGCTGCCTAACCTATGGCTGTAGCCCATTAGAAATTTCCCCTGTGAGCAACTGGAATGAAGGGAAGCAAATAACAGGGAGGACAGGCATAGTATTGCACCCCAAATTCAAAATTTAAACCAGAGCTCCACTTCTATTCATAAATTATTTGAGTATCAACATATATAAAGCTAGTTTACCATAATACCTTCTAACTATCGTATTACCTCGCCTTTCTTTTTTTCATTCCTTATAAATGAGTTATAACTTTTTGCAACTACTGTGTGTTATAACCAGTCCTCTTTTACCATCCTGCCAATATGCAGCATGTAATCTGAAAAGAAATATAAATTCCTTCTGTGCTCATAATATGGTGTGTTTTCCAGAACTACGACATTTTTTACAGTTCAGCAGGCTCTGCAAACATCCAGGAGAATTATTCTGTCTCCCAGGTCATGGGTGTGTTATACTTTCACAACAGGATATGCTGGCTCCATAGGGCAGCAGGGTTGCTGCTTAGGGAAGCTGAAGCACAGCAGCATAAGGTATCTCACAAGCAGCTAGGGGACAGAGACTGTTGTTCCTAAGAAAAAAATCTTCTCATTTCGTTGATTCTTAAAAGTAGCTAAAACACAGATGAAGCATGTCACATTTTTAAGAAATAGGATCTTTTTTCTCTGTAAAGGAATGATTTTTCGTTAAGGTTGCAAAACTGGTGAAACCACTTCTTGTAGGAAGTGCTGCAGTGTGTAGACTTTTGAGTAACTGTGAGCTCCCACCAAAAGCCTTACAACAAAAATCTGGTGTCTTAGACTTGTTTGCACAGGCTGTGTGGCTTCTCAGACCAGTTGGTTTCCTTGCTCAGAGCTGAGCTTTAGAACTAAGCCTTTATACACAGGTATACATATTTATATATATATTTTTATAAATATTCTAAAAAAAATTTAAAAAGCTAAGTATATATACACATATATATTTGGATTTTTTATAGAGAGCAAATATGTTATATCTTCTTCTGAAAGCAGTTTTGCACAGTTTACAGTTGGACCACTACATTGAAAAGATCTTAATAATCTTCTGGAAATTGAAATTAATTGATATTGTACAAAAACTATTATATGACAGAATATTAGACCTCCAAGAGTATATTAAAATAAAACTGCTTATCTACCGTTCAACATCCTCTCACGTGTGTATTGGAAAATTTCCCTTAAAAGTTGGGTCTGCAGAAGTGCATCTCCACTAGCCCAGCTTATTCATGAGGTTCTCTTCTGGTAGCTCAGTCAAGAGCAGTGGCATGAGACTCAACACCAAGGGACTTAAGCAGAATTACCAGGACTGCCACCATCTTCCGCTGTATTCTTAAACAGGCTTCTCATTTTCTTTGCTTCTTGTTTTCCCTTAGAATAAATGGAGGTGAGGTTGCTTACCCACATCAGCAAAACCATGTAAAAGCAACAGACAAAAGACAGTAAACATAACAAATTAAATAAATTTAGATGCAACTTCACTGTACAGATAAAATCTAATAGACAAACCAGGGGATTTAGAAAGCAACTTAATGCACTGCATCATCTGCACAGCAAAGACCGCTGAAACAACTTGAATTTTCTGAAGTTCAGACCTACTGCAAACAAGCTCAGGGTGGTGAGGAGCAGAGGTAAAGTCAGTTCTGGTATCTGGTATCTCACTGCACAGTAATTAAACAAATCATTACAAACAGCCTTATAAACACCTTGAAACGAAATACACGAGTACTAACAGAACATCTGTCAGGGTGCAAACAAAATAAATTGCGTAACAATTTTAACATGCAATTCTCAGATTAGATCTGCATGATTACTGTTAGTTTTTCACAGCAATAAACAAATATTCGTACAGACAGCAGATGCTTTTCCTCAATACTCAAAATAGTATCGCAACACACTGCTGCCGCATTTCCAGATTAGCTGAGGGTATCACCAAGAAGGCTGCTAGAGAGGAAAGAAGAAGACTGAAGGAATAATATCACTTTTGTGCTATAATATTACTCCAGCTATACCGCTGTGGAGGCAGCTTTCACAGTTGTGACCGAAGACACAAACAATTAGGTAGTTTCCACCATTCAATTCCTGTAACTAATGTTTATTTAACTCAATAACACTTCGGTGTCTGTGTGTGTTTTCTTCTCAAGTGTGGGCTAAACAGAGGCGTAGTGAAAAAAATAGATTGACTTCACATTGACTTCAGCAGGGTTGAATTTCACCCAAATGTTGTTAACTGTGTGTGTTATCTCTGTTTGTAAAAGCTCTGCTGAAATTCCATTTCTTCCACTTCGTATTACAAGAATAAATGTAGAGAGTGGGTTAAATTTCAATCCCACTGGAGTTAGAAGCAAACCTACAGCTCACTTCACTTACATGTACAAAACACAAACATATGGCTGAATTAGGAACAGAGGAAAACAAGGCAATGCTGTCTCTGGCTGAAACCAGGGCGGGTGGGCAGTGCCCAACCTTGCCCATACAGTTTTCTGCTCTAATTTCATTGCAGTGTAGAAGAGCTGCTCCTTCTCCCACCAAAACCATTGTTCCTACCTAACAGAGCTGGCAGTAACTAGATGAGGACATGGCAAGTGATGAAGGAGCTGAGCAGCCCAAGGGTACCGAGGCAGGTACTGAAGGCTTTGGAAGACCATAAGAAGAGGTGGAGAGGAAGAGCCTCCTCTTTTTCCTCAGCAGGTTTGTCTTGCACATGAAACATGCTGGAAGAAGTCCAGTTGGAGGACTGGATGGATAGTATTTCAGTACTGCTATTTTTAGCATATAAGAGATATATTTTAGCATATAAGAGGTATATATTTTATATCTAAGAGAGAGGGCTTCTGGGAGTCTGTAATTTTAAAACAAATGGCAGGTTGCTTTTTTCTCTTACATACATAAAGCTGTGTCACGACTGAAAAATAAACACATGGTTGAGAGATTTCTTGAACTCCTGCATGGTGGTTAATTTTTCAACAGTTCTTTTAATGGATATGAGAGCATAATACAGCAGAATCTACTCAGAGTCAACTCTCACTGTCAGTTCCTCAGTACACTCCTGGAGAAAATCCCATCTGTCTTCCAAGGTTTTATTTTTTAGCTGTGTTCCTCCCCTATCTCTCTCTGGTCAGCTTTTGAATGAATTGCAAATTTTGGATCAGATTGTTGAAACTGTCTGCAAAAGGATTGCTTTTTGACCCATGTTTGCATAACTCTGCATCTGACTAACCTGTTAAATTCCATGTCCCAGCAGACATACAGAAATGACCCATTTTCAGTGGTGTGCTGAATTAAGGACTTACGTATATAAGTGTACTTAAGGACTGCATAAGTTCACATGAACAGTCCTTGAACTGCCTCTTGATAACCTCTGATTTTTTTATTGTGCTAGAATGAAGCTTTTTTTTTTTTTTTTTTTTAATATTTCAACAGAGCAATGGAAAGAAAAAGAACTAGCTGAAGTAGATTGGAATGCTTGATGTCTTAGGATTTAAAATCCAAAGCCAGCTCAGTTACATGTGGCTAATCATTCTTGGTTTATGATGGGCCATGGAAAACAATAAAGTTCTCATACTGTTCCCAGTGGCCAGCTAGTCATATCCCAGGCCTACCAGCATCTGAATTACTAGCATGCTTTTTGGCAATCAGAGAAGACTGCAGGCTGAACGGGTGCCAAGATGGATGTATAACATGGGCCAAAACTCCAGGAAAACTAAGATCTAACCTTGCTGAGCAGACCTGGCATTCGACAGCACAGTTTGAGGAACAGTAAGGGGGAAGAGAGAGAGTGCCTGTGCCTCGGGCATAGCCTCCCACTGCTTTCTGAGGCAGGGGAGCCTCCCATCAGATCCTGCTGAAGTCTGAACATTATTGTTGCAGCCTATGTGTCTTCATATTGACTTATTTGCTTGGGAGCCTGAGGGAGTTATTTTTTACTTCTGTTAGCTCTACATAGCTAAGCCAACCAAAGAAAGTGAAACGGATTCTTTCATTTATCTTGCACAACATCGGACATATACACGTTGTATGTGTGCACAGCTACTGAAGACAATCAGACCACCAAGTGTTGCTGATGGCATAACTGGCCTGCTGATGACAACACACTGGAGGAACAAGAGAAAGGCTCCTAGCTGATATGCAGCTTCTTAAGCAAGTTGATAGAGCCAAGTTTTGTCAAGTTAATGCACTAGGACTGAGAAGGGAGATAGCTTTCCTTGCCACTTGTAAATTTGATACATTTTGGCTAGAGCAAATCAGAGCAATATAAAAATATAATTTGGTTGCGTTGTATTTCTAGCATCATTTTTTTGGAAAATAGATTTGTGATATAAAGATGTATGCAGTGCCTGGGACAAGCTCCATCTAAATCAGCAGGAGCTTCTCCTGATTTTTATGGAAAGTAGTTCAGGATGTTG